AACTGCGATCAGCGATATCCCACAAACAACTCGCACAACTGGTTTAATTTATATTAACTACAAGGCTCGATTGCAATACTTACAGTCCTCTTATAAGGGGTCACGATATAAAACAAATATCCACTCAATCGACGCTCGGAAATCAGGTCTGTGCACGCGCGCTGAGATGGGAGAAAACTGCTGCAATGGCGTCGGTGCGTGCTCCTTTTATAAGCTCTGGGCGGACTGTGGTGGTGGGGGGCCGTGACGTCAGCGCTGCGTCAACGCCGCCAACCTCAGCGCGCCAAATCCTCTACGCGCTGGCAGCGACTCGCTGAAAGAGGACCGAGCAGAAAATTCAGTAACAGGGAGCGAGGGTTGGCTGTTTTGCGTAAAGCCCGACGATTGGGTGAATCAGGAAACAGCTGTGTATGTGTACAGTCCTGTTTAGTGGAAGTGAAATGCACTTCGGAAAAGAAGGATTTCGTACAGTCCCTTTGCTATGTGACAAAACCAAAAATGAATGTTTGCTCGCGAGTCTGTATAGTTCTCCAATCAATGAACCACCATGGCGCGCGAACGTTTTGGCTCTCCTAATGACAGACAGGGTTCCGTTACGCCATTTGGAAAAAGTAGGCCCCTTGCTCCAACAAAAACAATAACACTTCACCTTAACCCGACGAGATTTTAGGCAACACGCGTGTAACACAGTGGTTAAATAATCAGATTAGAAGATTTCTATTGCTAGAAATCTGACGAAAGTTCGACACGTCACTTTTTGGTGGCGTGGTGAGTCAGCATCGAGTACGATCTGGCAGGTTCGTACTTGCGTGGTCGAGGGGCCGTCCATAAGTACGCTTGGCTTCTTTGTTCGGCAAAGAATAAAGGCGTTTACTTTGGAGGAAAACGACACCAAAAGAACAAAACTAAGCAAGACGGAGATGGGAGCGGAGCCCTCCGGGTGTGCTGTTGCACAACGATACCGCTGGGTGTCTAGCCATTGGGCATGTTGACTCGCCCATGATGATGTGGTACTTTGTCTGGCAGCAGCCCACCTCGCCCCTCGCCCCAACGAGGCCGCCAGGGCCGGTGGCCTCCTCTCCTAGAAGACCGGGGTCGAGCCCGCAGCAGAGCCACCCCGGCGGCCGTCATCCCCTGGCGCGCATCCCCCGCGCCTCCGTCATGACCAGGGGGAAGCAGGCAGGCAGGACGCTTCATGTTTTAGAACCCACGACCATCGTCTCGCTCGCGGCTCGGGCGCTCCAAAAATAAACCTGATCGCCGGGCTCTCTGACGCGTTTCTGTTTCTCTCGAATGGAAGCTGTTGCTGTAAACACGGCAAAGTCGTCGGCTGGGCCTCTTTTTCTGCCCGTGCCCCCGGCGGCCGTTCTCTTTCTGTACCCGGGAGGTCGTGCCCTCCCCGCCCCGCACGGGACAGCTCGCTCCTCGCGACGCCCGCCCTCGTCCTTTGGGCGGTCCGGGTCGGGGGCGATAACGATTAAACTGCGACTGCGTCGCGGTTGTTGCTTAAGATAGTGCTGACATAAAAACTTTGTCACAATAACCTAATCTCAAACACCTTGGCCTGTTGCTTAAACACGGACAAAGTAAAGCTCCTCTCACGAGGAAGGTGTGCGATTTTACCACCTCCCCCACCCTCATTTCTTTGCCACGCTGGTCCTCAACACCACTCTGCCAGACGTGGGCTGATGACCCCGAGGGCAACCGCCTTCATGAAGTCAACGAGTCCTGCTGAGGCCCCCCATGGCAGTCCGCCCGCGGTGTGCGCCGCGGTCCACGGCGGCGGCGGCGGTCGCATCGCACCGAAAGACGTAGAACGACGTAGAACGGCGTAGAAACGCGGCGGTGTGTCTGTCGCGGACCGCGGCCGGGCCGGACCGGGCCGTTCCCAGGTGCGCGGTCACCTGCCCCCAAGGTGCCTGCCCCCCTACTGTACAACCCCTGCCGCCTCGCACGCCATGGTCTCTGCCTGTCTCTGTCGCCCTCGCGTCACGCGGGTATGCGCCTCGCTAACGTGCGCGTGCGAGAGGAGGACGGCGTCAAAGTCCTCGTCCGTCCCCGCCGCCATGTCATGAGACACGGGCGCGGGGCTTCATGCGGCCGTGGGGGGCGCTACTACTGTACTACACGACCGCCAGCAAGGCTTTGCGTTGCAGGCGCGTGCATCCACATGGTAATCCACGAGCGAAGGCGCGAGAGTGCGGTGGGATGGGTTGTGGGTGGGTGGTGTGATGGGGCAGATGGGGCTATGCATGCAGGGCCTGCCCTGCGACGCGACGCGCGGAGCAGTGGAGAGCTTTCTCGAAGTCACCATCATGCCACGCCTCGCCCGCGTCCGGTGTCGGCCCCGTCGTCGTCAGTTCAGCGATACCGATAGCTACCGATAGCGGTCGAGGGACGCCAACCGAGTTGGCCCGGGCGAGCGGCGGCGGGCGTTGGCGTTGTTGTAGCCCCGCAGCCTGGCCTGGCCTGGCAGACCAGACCGGCATCGCGAAAACAAACAGGAAAAGATGCGTCTCACTGCGTAAGTCCCAACGCCAGGCCGACCAGAGGCAGCAGGCTCGGGCGAGTGGCCAGCGCGAAGGGGCCGTCAGTGAATGACGTCTGTTCCTGGGGGTCGCTAGCTCTTCCTGTTCCCCATTCAACAACCTCATATGCTAAATGGTTCAAATTTTGGACAGTTTGCGCTGGTGGCATTTTGCGTCATGGCGAAAAAAAGGCACAAACAAAATGGGAGGGTTGTTTAATGTGCTGCTTCGTGATATTTTTACAATAAATTTCTGGATAACGGTCTACTAATACGACGCTTGCCGTGGAATCTGAAGCTCGGCGCTCTGCTCTACTCTCGTGGGTCGGCGCTTAGCACACCTCGTTGGCACATCGTCACACAACTTGGCATAGCTGTGGGCGTGTGCGCGCGGACGGTGCACCCAGCACCACCGACCGTCGGGCCCTTCTTGGCCCTTCGCTTGTCGCCGTTCTCCGTCCTGCCTAATCCTGCCGTGCGTGGCTGCCGAAGTCCAGTCATGCCCTGCCCAGTTGAAAGAATGATGCACACGCCCTCCCTACGCCCCCTCAAAAATGTTCCTGAAACACCTTTAGGGGTCGTCCAGAAAGTACGTCCGTTTTTCTCGGATTCCTTCGACAACAGACGGGAGCTCGGCGCCTGCGAGCCTCGGGGTAGACCACCCCGCAGTACACGCCTGCACTGCAGGCAGGATCTTGCCTACCCAGCAGGCGCTATGGGATCTTGCCTATGCCTAGGCTGAACTTGGCAGGTTCGAAACGGCGATTGACGGACGTACTTTCTGGATGATCCGTCGAAAATCATTGTTGAAGTTTATCGAAGTACATGAACGAAATTAGTGAACAACAGCTTCAGTTGGCGGTGGCCATAATCATTGCAGTTTAACTAGATTCACCGAAATTTAAGTCGATGTTTCCTCGCTCGCTTAAACTCTGCAGCTGCACTCTTTGTCTAGACCACCGCACTGCCCCCCCCCCTCTCCCCTACCCTGGCCAGTGCTCCTATCTGATCTGCCTGGCAGCGCCTGTCTGCTGCACGTGGTGGTCGTTCTGCTGATGACACCCATTCGCCCCTTGCATCAATCGAGGGTCGAGATCTATCAATACCTTCAAAGGTGCTCGCGCGACAGGAGTCGAAGTGTCAAGGCGACAGTCAGAAGCAAAGCTGCGAAGATGTTTGGTGGAGTCAAGGGGAAGGGTGTGAGGGGGAGGGGGTGGGTGCACCCGAGCAGAAAGTGTCGTAAAGTGCACTCAGCTCCCTGAGCCCCGCGTCGTCTTCCATGCGCTGCAGTTTCAGTGCGTGCCTCAGCTCACCTCAGTGCAGTGTCTGCTGATGTGAAGAAGGGAAGAGCCAAGAGCCAACGTCGGGACCGGTCGAGACTCGCGGGGTGGGGCGGGGCGCGGGGCGCGGCCGAGCCGGCCGTTGTTGCCCTGGCGACCAAGCCCCCTTCGCCCCCGCACAAACTTGACTTGCGCCCATTTCTATGTGCACTCTCTACCACAAAACAGACACACGTGTTCATGTTCTCTGTGGGTGGAGTATTCCCGTCGCATTCGATGCATATCTTCACCCCCCCCCC